CTGCCCCACTTCACTTCCACCAGCCCAGGACAAAGAGCAGAGCCAGAGCCCAGAGCTGACCACTGCTGGCTCAGGGATTGGAGGTGGGGGGCCGGACAGGGACACTTTAAGGTTGGCCAAGGTCAGAGCAGGATTGGGGATCATAGGCGTCTTCCCCTTGGGGTGGGACCGCCATGAGGAGGAAAATCTGGGTGGGGCCAGCCTGGAGTGGGAGAGTGCTGGGAGCTGTGGGCTTTTGGGGTGGGCTCCTTCCTTTCCCAGGAGTGGGGAGGCTGGGCCTCCTGGCTGGGCTCTGGCTTCCATTAGAATGAACCCCTATTCCCAGGGCAGAACCCGGTGGCAAGAAGTGGGGGTGGGGTGGGGTCTCTGGGGAATGGGCCTGCTGATCAAGGAAGGTGCTGGAGTTCCCTCCACCCCACCTTGGGCCCCAGACCCACCCCTGGGAGACTCTTTTTGGGGTCATCCCTAGTTCTGGGCTGAGGCAGTGCCTCCTGCAGAACTTCAAAACAAGGTGGCCCATGGCTCCTTCCTGGCCCCCTCTGGGGGGGGGGGGCAGCGGGCAGGTGCCAAAGGATGTTACTTGGGCAGTGAGAGTCTATGTTAGTCTGAATTCCCAGTTCCCAAACCATCCTGCCCTTGAAGGTCAGGTGGGGCAGAGGCTGTGGGGAGGCCTGTGGCCCTAGGCCAGCTGAAGGACCAGGCCACCAGCCCTTCCTGGCTCCTGAATTCTTAATCAGCATAAATATTTACTTCCTTCCTCCCTTTCCAGGCTCCCAGCACAGAGGACCTTCAGGGAGGTTGGACTGGGCCTGTGTCTAAAAATAAACAGGTGGAAGGACAGGCAGATACACAGACAGACAGACATAACTGGGGGGGGGATGTCAGGCAGAGGGCAGCTCCCTACTCAGCTAGAGAAGAGTGGAGGGGGCCCAGATCTATCCATCACTGTCACCCACCTGCCTGCCTGGGACTAGAGCTCCTAAGGGATAGGGTGGCAGTCTGGTCCCAGTCCTTCTGCATCACTGGGAACCCCTGGCCCATGCGTGGCCTGTGGGCAAATCCAAACAGATGTGTCAGCTCCCACTTGATGGAGTTTAACAGGGACAAGTCAAGTCACAGACCTGGGTCCCCTGGCCAAGTGCAGCCGCTCATGCTCTGATAATGCAGCCCGCTCCCCGGACTCAAGAGACTCCAGTGTCAGCCATGTGCTGAGATCTTGAGATGTTTCTTCAGAAGCAGAGGGTCCCAAGTGAGGGAGGGGACTGCTTTGTTCCCTGTGTACTTGGAGTGTCTTGGCAGAAATGGAGCTTGTTGGGGAGATGGATGAATCTGGATTCCGGGAAAGACAGGGAGTATCTTGTAGTGTCGGCTTGTTTGGCAGATAGATTTTCAGGGTGTGAACATCTCAATTAAACACAAGGAAACACCGTTGCCCAGCATGTGAGAAGGTTATTGCTGTAAAAAGAGACTGAATTTGGAATGACCATTTGAGCTTGCTCTTGGGTCATTTATATGTGAAGAAAATTACACCACTGAGAAATTCTAAGAAAGTGGTGAAAATTCACCACTCAGAATAAAAGGATATTATCACCAGTGAAAAAATTACATATGTCTGTATTTTACTAACCACCAGACAGCTGATCACCTCCCTGGCTGGTCTGGCTGGGCCACAGTCCCCAGCTGCCCCCTGGTGGCGGCCCAGAGCCCTCTGGCTCCCCTTATCTGCGGGGCCCTCTCCTGGGACCGCCCCTGGGAGGCAAGGCCACCTCTGTACACCCAACCCTTGGGGCCAGACCAGGCTTTGCACAGGGCACAGCCCAGTAGGCACTCTAAGGGCCACCTGGGAGGACACTTTGTGCTCTCCTGGCCTGGTTCTGAGTCTTCCTGCTCACCCTAGGTATGTGTACCAGGCATGACTTCCCATTCGGTCAGAAATGACCTTTGGGACCTGCCTGGTCAATTCCAGGGAGAAGATCTGGCCTTGATTCTGATGGCTCTGCCACTTCCTAGCTCTGCAACTTGAGGTAGCATTTCTAAAACTCTGGTCATGGCAGAATGGACTCTATGAACTTTGCTACCCAGAAAAGTCTCGTGGGAAGTGGGTGAGTTAGATCTGGCTCGGTGGTTGGCTCTCTGTGATGCCTGCGTCCAGGGCCACTCAGAGTCTACCCAGGAGACAACTTTCACACTACCCCACACCCACGGCCTCTCTGCTCCGGTGGGCTTCAACAGGTGCAGCCCGAGGAGGAGGCTGGGGCCACAGTGTCACAGCACAGCTCCTGTCCTCTCCCAGGTTCCTGCCTGAATACCAGTTTGGGAGCCCCTCACTGCCTACTGCCACCCCCACTCCCAGCCCCTATCACCATGCACTCCTTGGACGAGCCGCTCGACCTGAAGCTGAGTATCACCAAGCTCCGGGCGGCGAGAGAGAAGCGAGAGAGAACACTGAGTGCAGTCCGGCACCGAGCGCTGCACAGGGAGCTTGGCCTGGTGGATGACAGCCCCACTCCGGGCTCCCCAGGCTCCCCGCCCTCAGGTACTGCGTCCTGGATAGGGCAGCGGTCTCTGAGCCCTGGAGATAGGAAAAACATCCCAGGTGTGTCCACCAGGACATAGTCACAGCCCCTCTCAGCCTCACTTAGAGAGCCCCCAAACTCCCTGGATCCTTCCAGCAGTTTATCTTTGGAGGTGCCACTGTCCCCAGGAGGAGGGAACTGACTTGCCCAGCTCATGAAGCTGCCAGGGCAGAGCCAGGATTCAGTGAGGCCTCTGGGAGGATTTGGAGGAGCTGGTAAGGGGCAGTGGGGGATTCACAGGTAGTAACAAAAGGCCCTTTGACCCAGGGAATGCGGCTGGTCAGCCAGGCTATTAGAGACTGGGGACCGAGCCCAGCAGATACTTCTCAGGGTGTGCTCGGGGCTCAGGCCTCCTGCCCCACCTCCGGTGGACCCTGAGAACCAGACCTACCACATCTGAGCTGGAAGGCTCTGGAAGCAGCCTAAACCTCTCATGTTACAGAAAGGAGCACTGAGGCAGAAAGGGGCCCAGGAAAAGTTAGAAAGTTCCCTTCCTGACAGTGTGACGGGAAGCCAGGGGCCTTGGGTTCAAGTTCCTCTTCAGGTTAGCCTGTGTGCCAGCCCATTCCCATCTGTAAAATGTCCCCATCTTCCCCAATGGCCAAGCTCTCACTATGGCACAGGGCACATCTGCCAGTTGTACAGGCTCTGCTCAGATTCTTGGGTCCCAGGGTGGCCCAGGGAGGGGGAGCATGGCGTGGCTGGTGTCTGCTTCCAGGGTCACAGTGGAGGAGTCAGGCAGGAGGGTCTGGCCCCCCAGGACTCTTGGTTCTGGGGTCCCTGACTCATGCCTGTCCCCTAGGCTTCCTGCTGAACCCCAAGTTCCCTGAGAAGGTAGAGGCACGCTTTTCAGCAGCCCCTCTGGTGGACCTCAGCTTGTCGCCGCCATCTGGGCTGGACTCCCCCAATGGTAGCAGCTCGCTGTCCCCTGAGCGCCAGGGAAACGGGGACCTGCCTGCAGTGCCTGCCGGCCCGGTAAGGAGGGGGCAGTAAGGAGGGGATATGTGTCCTAGAGAAGGAAGGTGTATTCATCTCCTGGGCCTCCGTAACAAAGGACCACAAACTGGGTGGCTTAAAACAATAGAAATGTATTATTCTGGAAGCCAGAGTCCAAAATCAAGGTATTGACAGGGCCATGCTCCCTTCAAAGGCTCTGAGGGGGATCGTTCTTTGCCTCTTCCTGCTTTTGGCGGCTCCAGGCGTTCCCTGCCTTATAGGGGCATCCCTCCTACCTCTGCCTTCGCTGTCACACAGCCTCCTGCCCTGTGCGTCTGTGTACAAACCTCCCTCTTTCTCTTATGAAGACACCAGTCACTGGATTTAGGGCCCCTCATCTAGTCTGACCTCCTTTCACTTGATTACTGGTCTGCAAAGACTCTGTTTCTGTACAAGGTCTCGTGCACAGGTACCAGGGTTTGGGGCTGGGACATATCCTCCTGTGGGACACAGCTCAACCTGCCACAGGAAATGGGGGATGTGTGGGGGGTGTCTGGGTCCCCTGGTCCAATGGGCACTGACCAGCTTTGCCCCTGCCCTCCACCAGGACCTCCAGCCGCTTCGCTACCTGGATGGCGTCCCCAGTTCCTTCCAGTTTTTCCTGCCTCTGGGCTCTGGGGGTGCCCTGCACCTGCCTGCTTCCTCCTTCCTCACTCCCCCCAAGGACAAGTGCCTCTCGCCAGAGCTACCCCTGCCCAAGCAGCTGGTGTGTCGCTGGGCCAAGGTGAGTTGGGGCTGGGAAGAGGGGGGCAGGGTCCGGGGCGAGTGGCCCTACGAAGGTTCAGCACCCACCCTGGCCCCGCAGTGTAACCAGCCCTTCGAGCTCCTGCAAGACCTGGTGGATCACGTCAACGACTACCATGTCAAGCCCGAGAAGGATGCGGGATACTGCTGCCACTGGGAGGGCTGCGCCCGCCACGGCCGCGGCTTCAATGCCAGGTGAGGGAGGGCAAGAGGGGTGCGAGGGAGGGGGCTCGGGTATGCAGTGAGCTGAGCTGTTCTCCCCTTACCCGTGTCCTCCTGGGAGCAGGTACAAGATGCTCATTCACATCCGCACGCACACCAACGAGAAGCCGCACCGCTGCCCCACCTGCAGCAAGAGCTTCTCCCGCCTGGAGAACCTGAAGATCCACAACCGGTCGCATACAGGTGAGGGGTGGAGCTGGAGGGCGGGGCTGGAGGGTGGGCCAAAGCACACACCCCACTGCTCAGCGCCCCTTGCTGGGGAAGCCTCTCCCTCTGTGCCCTTGACACACACTCTCAGGGCACAGACTTGACTTCCTGTGTCACGTCTGGCATTGTGTTCATATGATGGTTGACTCATGCCACCTGTGACTGCAGACAGTATGTCCCCTTGCTCCTCACTGTGCTGTGTACCCCAGCACACAGTAGGGCCAGCACTGGCTGGCAGAGCTGTACACCTAATTTTAAATTTCCTAAACACTGGCGTTGAAAAAAAGTACAAAGAAATACATGATGAGATGAATGGTAATGATACATTTCCTTGAACCCAATATATTTGAAATGTTATTTTAATGTTAAAACATCAACGGAACATGAAAATTCTTCATCTCATAGGAAGTCTACAGATTCTGGCGTGCATTCTCCCCCTGGTGTCTGTTTTACACTCACAGTGCATCTCAGTTTGGACCGGCCACACTTCAAAGGCTCACAGCCTCACGTGGCTCTGGCCAGCCCTGGTCAGCAGCAGCAGCCGTTTAGTAAATCTGGAGCCATTTTGCTGAGTCAGGGCCAAGGGCAGTCGGCATTCACGCAGAGCTCACTGTGGGCTGTGCCCTAGTGGGTCTTCATGTAATTATCTGTCAAAGTCGGCGCTCTCATCACAGTCTGACACACGGGACCGAGTCCAAGGGCACACACACAGCCAGGCCCCAGGCTGGCTTCTCAGCGGCTATGCCCTGCTGCCCCCACCTGCAGTCAGAGCTCCTACCAGGTGCTGGGGACACTGCCTCCCAAATCAGACTGCCCGTGCTCTCAGGGAGATCTCGGTCTGGGGTGAGGGGCCTGGGGGCTCTTGGGTGGGTGGGTAAGGGCAGGAGACTGGGCTGCGTTGGCCCAGGAGGCAGGAGATTCCTCACACTGGCGCTGCCCTGCAGGCGAGAAGCCCTACGTGTGCCCCTACGAGGGCTGCAACAAGCGCTACTCTAACTCCAGCGACCGCTTCAAGCACACGCGCACCCACTACGTGGACAAGCCCTACTACTGCAAGATGCCCGGCTGCCACAAGCGCTACACGGACCCCAGCTCGCTGCGCAAGCACATCAAGGCCCACGGCCACTTCGTGTCGCACGAGCAGCAAGAGCTCCTGCAGCTTCGCCCGCCCCCCAAACCGCCGCTGCCCGCCCCCGACGGCAGTCCCTATGTCAGCGGGGCCCAGATCATCATCCCCAACCCTGCTGCCCTCTTCGGAGGCCCTGGCCTGCCCGGCCTGCCGCTGCCCCTGGCCCCTGGCCCCCTTGACCTCAGCGCCCTGGCCTGTGGCAACGGTGGGGGCGGTGGGGGGTGGGGGGGGCATGGGCCCTGGGCTGCCCAGCCCTGTCCTGCCCCTCAATCTGGCCAAGAACCCGCTGCTGCCCTCGCCCTTTGGGCTGGCGGACTGGGCCTGCCCGTGGTCTCCCTCCTC